CATAAGGAAAATAATAATCATGATAAGATTCAATTGTATCGAAGATTTCATTGGCTTCATCAACTATTCCACCAAATAAATATTTTCTTTCCAATGCAACAGATGTTAAAATCACTCGATCACCGTCAAATTCATCACTAAAATAAAAACATATTTTTATTCTTCAATCAATACTTAATTTGTAAACAAACCTGACTGCATTTGATTTAAGAAACGAATCAATTGCTTGAATTCTTAGTTGACATAAAAGTATTAAACGAAATATTGATAATTTTTTATAATATAAATTTGGTTGAATACATTGTAAGATTTGTTGTCGTAAATCATCTAATGATGTTTCAACACTATATTGACAATTAATAGATGTTGTTAATAATGCTAATGATGATGAAATTTTATCAAGTGAATCACACGTTCTATGAAAATAAAAATGAAGTAATGAATTACAATATAAATGATGACCACAATAAAGTATTAAATTTGAATTTAAATAAATATTTTAGATTTAAATAAGAAACGAAGAAGAAAGTTGATATACCATCATTAGAATTTGATTCGTGTGATGTTGCTTTCCATTGTGCTAATGGATAAAGAAGACTGTCTAATGTATTACAATTTTTTATATAAATCTTTGAACCAAACAAAAATGATTGTTCAATTGACATTACAACATCATGTTTTGATCTTTAAAATAAAATGAAGACACATTTTTGATATTTCTCCTCTATTTTTTCTTAATCAATCAGAATTAGTGTAAAAGAGTATCGGTAATTCTAGATGACTAAGGATTAGATTTATAAAGATATATTAAATTGACTATTTAGTATAAGAATGAAACATACGGATCATCCAAATGAATTTTTTGAAGATTATAATATTTTTCCATCCATTGATCACATTGTTCAAATGGATCAATAAGAAGTAAAGGATATTCTCTTTCTCGTAGAGAAGAGTCTTGCAAACATAAATTGTCTGTTTGTCTGTCCGCGAGGTCAAAAAAACATCGAGCACTGTCTTTTCGAAAACACATTTCTAGAGATATTTCGATGCGGGAAGTTTGAGTCCAAAGTCTGTCAAGTGACTATGGTGAGGGGGGGGGGGTGAAGAGGGGCTAAAGATCAAAAAAACATCGAAACCCGATTTTTCATGATGTTCAACTGTTTTTCCAGTAGATGTGTAGAGGATACATTTCTACGAGAAATAGCTAAGCGAGTCCTCGGACGAGCGTTACTTGTTCAATTGATTCAATAATAATTGTATGATTTTCCATTTTTGATAATAAAACTCCATTATTTAACCATTCATAATATATTCGATCATTTAATAAAAATTTTATTAAAGAAAATAACATTTAATGATATTCAAGTCCACCAAATGATTTTTGTTCGTCAATTATCTAAAAAGAAATTTTCTTTGTAATTTTTCAAATAAAAATAAAAACTCATTTACTTGTAGTAAATTCTCTTTAATAGGATTCTAATCATCAATTTATGATTCGACCTTTAGTAGATGATATTTGATCAAAAACAATAATCATTCATCTATCTCTAATACATTAAATCCAATGAACAGTTAACATAAGACGTCGAAATCCATATGTAAATGGACCAAGATAAGTTAAAAATGCTGATGCAATTGCACATGTACCATTTAATGTTGATTGACGTTCTACACTTGTTTCAAATATTTTACTTGTTCGTTCTAATTCTCAAGATAAAATCTAGAAAAATAAATATTTAAATTTAGTTCAATTTTCATTGAAAAGTATTTAAGAAACTTTTAACAAACTCGATTTAATTTTAACGCAGTTTTTAATTGATTTTCTTGTATTGTTGTGAAACATCTTTTAAACGAGCTTCTAATGTCTAATCATATATATTTTATTTTAATATAAAAATATTAAACAATAAAAATATTAACTTGACTTTTAATATATAATAAAATTAATTTTTGATCTTGTTCTAATACATCTTCTTCAATTTCTTTATATTTCTGATGTATTGGTCGAACTTTTTTAAGTAAAACTGTATGATATCTATATAAAATAATAAAATAATAATAGTAATATTTTTTTCCAAATAACTAACTGTAAAGCTCGTTTAGCCCATTTCTAAAGTGTTAAAACAACATTATAATAAGATGTTTGATTAAGTAATGAATTTTCAAGTTGAACATTATCAATAATTCCACTAATTAAATTAATATGTTCTTCTGTTAAATTAATTTTATCAAATAATTGACTTTCTTCAATCAATCTATCAAGATTAGCTAATTGTCTTTTCACACCTTTTTGTCATGTTATATCAGCTGTTGGAGATTTTACTATTATTAATATAAAATTTTATAAAAATAGAAAAATAAAAAATATTCTAAACTTACAAATCATAATAATAGCAGCTAATCTTGACGGGTGTGG